ATGTGTTCGGGACTTTGAAACTTGTTCCTTCTCTGCAGCAACGGTGCTCACAGTTGCTTGTCAGATTAGTCGAGTGCGGACTAAGAATGTTGTTGGCTAGTCGCATGCAGACTAAGAAAGTTGTATGCTGGTGCGACTTGTGTGCATTTTCGATTGAGAAACTCGCATGCGGCTTTTTTGTCTTATGCAGAACCTTTGCCTCTACTGGTACATCATGTGTTGAGTCAGAGTTATTGATATTTATTGTAGATTCAGTACACTCGAAAACCCCCTTTTTTTCATCATGTATCCAGACGCAACACAGGTATACCGTCCAGCGTGTGCTTGATTCTAGTGGCACCGCAGATACTTGGCCGCTGATAGGATTTACGTGCAATTGGTTCTGCTTTCTGCTCATTCTGCATGGTCAGCGCTGACTGCCTCCCCTATCAAAGGGAGATTTAGCATGCTGACCATTGGTGACATTATGTTATCAGATGTTATCAGGGTGATTGAGAGTCCATGCGTGCACGTTGTAAGCTCCCTAATAGATGCTCCTTGAAACGAGATGTTTACGCATCCCCCCGCATTACCTGGCGGTCCTGAGTGTGAGGACTCCAAGAAGACATCCCTAAACTGAGAACCCCATATTGCAAGGATCTCGCTGCAGAGAGACTACGCGTTATCTTCCGTGCTTAGCTCCACACACACATATCAAACATGCGTAGCTCTTCACGACCAGATCATGAAGGGAAAAACGTCGGTATGACAGATGCACTCTCCATCATCCGTTTCAGCAGCGCAAGGCCCTACAACTTATGCAATTCGTTTGAGCTTCTATGTCTGAACAAAAGTGGAGAAAGCAAACACTTGTTATAAACATGGCGTCCGGAACTGCAATCTCTGTCCATATGGGCATTCGAAGCAACGCTGCATTCACAAGGAATCGGATTTCTGGGTGGTAGCAGTAGTGGTAGTTGTGGTGGTAGTGGTATTGGTAGTAGTGGTGGTGGAAGTAGCATTAGTATTAGTATTTTTAGTAGTAGCAGTGGTAGCAGTAGTAGCAGGAGCAGCAGCAGCAGTAGCATTAGCAGTAGCAGTCGTGACTTCTAGTTTGATTGCTAACAACCACGCACACAGCCACGGCTTCCAAAGCGCACCCGTTCCAGGCATAGGAGAGGGGGTGATGGGGTGAATTCTACGGTGGAATCCTATTATCAGCTGACGTTTCTCGAAGCATAATTGTTGGGTTCGTTCCGTGGATCACCAAGGAATGTTGCGTACACTATCAACAGCCGTGGCGTTGCTGGGCTGGGCGGCAGCTGCCCTGCCACAGTCACAGGCAGTCCACGAAATCAAATCTGTGCGTTGTCACTAGTCATTGGACTGTCCTAAGGGTTTCCATTAAGCGGCAAGCGAGTCTCCCCTTCTGCGTTGCTGCGTCTAGCTTCTCATCAAACTGCCATGACATGAAGCCTTTACCGAGGATCCCCTCAAAACGCGCACTCCGCCTTGTAGCCGGTCTATGAGAATGATACCCCTTCTGAGTTTCAGCAAGGAGTCTCTCTACACGCTAAACCCTGAATTAGTAGCTTCCATTTTATTTTGCATCATCCCCATATAACCCCTTTTCAACCCCTAACATTATTCCAATATTATCTCAATAAGCTAAGCATAACCATTATATAATCCCTATATTATCCCTGTAGTTTCCAGTTTATTTTCCATTATCCCAATATTATCCCAATATACTATAGTAGTTTCCATTTTATTTTCCATTATGCCTATATAACCCTAATATACTATGGTAGTTTTCATTTTATTTTCCATTATCCCAATATTATCCCAATGTCCGTTACCCCCCAAGGAGGCCTGTGAGTTGCCTGACGTGCCCCTTGCAGCCTCACTGCTCCAGCCCCGAGCCCATAGCAGCGGAGGCCGGTTTGGGGACCAGCTGGGCCATAGTCTAAACTCCTTTAAAAGGGGTTATGTAAGGGATTATATAGGGGACTACTATAGGGGGTATATTAAAGGGGATACTGGGAGTTTAGACTATGGCTCAGATGGGCTTGGGTGACTGCCTTAGAATTCCTTAGGGGCATCAGTCCCTTCATGCTGACATGAACAACCTCCCCCCTTACTATGACATGTTGGGGGGACCTAGTTCAATATTCGGGGTGGGGGGAGTGGTTCAACATTGGCATGAAGGCCGTACCTAGCTGTGAACGGTTTGAGGTCCCTGTTCAGGAAAGACAGCCATGACCAAATGGCAGGGTTATATAAACGTCCGTTACAGGTGGCTCGCTGGGAGGGTCGTGTCCCAGGTACATGCATATACTCTCTTGGGGGTCGACACATGGTGAAGGAGTAGCATGCAAAAACCTATGTGCAACACCGCCCACGTTAGAGCTACTTTGTCTAGTCTAGTCACCACCTACACCGATAATGAACCCAACAGCTTTCCGTCAGTCTAGAGTGTTATTAACCCAGCGATATTGATTCGTGCATGGTTGGGGAATTTTTGATTTGGGATTGGGTTAATCCCCATATTCTAATCACTGCATATGCACAGCCATTTTCCATTTGAATTTTATTGAAAAGTTTTCAGGCCACTGAGCCCCGAAACCCTGAACCCTTAATAGAACCCTAGCCCTAGTCCTCCAAGCTTGAAGAGCAAGGCCATCACTTTAGGACTTTGGGGTGCCAGGTGTCCGACAGCCTGCGCCGCTGCTTTGCAGAAGATTCAGTGTATCGGCAATGTATGTATAACTCCAACTACTTGTGTGTGTGCATAGAAATGAACCCCATACATGAATGCACGTGATTGTGGGGTCGACAGAATATGCAGTTCTTGTGGGTTCTTGTGGGTTTTCTGTCAGGTTGTTCTTCTGCAGCTGGTAGCCTGGCAGGCCTTCCTATTGACTATTCGCCTACTATGGACTACATGTATAATGTATATATCCTAAAACCTATAAGCCCTAAACCTACAGTCTGAATTGAGGAACCTCTTCCAGAAACTCTTGCTCAAAACAACCTCGAGGCACGTCAAGAAGCTGGCTTTAAAGATTGGAAACAGGCCTACCGCCTAGGCTGGCTAAGAACCGTGAAGGCCAGCTTTCAAGATTTCAGTGGCTTGTGGTGATGTGATCTTACTGTGCCCCAAGATCATTCACCAAGCATGGCAGGGCCCTGATAACTTTATGCCCAAGACACCCCTAAACCTTGAACCCTAAATCTATGACATTGAAGTTCAAGGTGGTCCCATTTCAAATTGCTCCAGAGCCTCTCCTCAATCCTACAGCTTTACTGTCGTGGTTGCGAGAAAGACTTTGAAGCTGCGATTTAGGATTTAGAGTTTAGAATCTAGGACCCATGACCCCTCATCCTTGTAGGCGTTCTCTATGTCCAGAAACCTCGCGTGAACTACTCATTGTGAGCCTGCAAGATTGTTTCACTGCTTAGGACATCCAGACAAGCAACCCCAAGACTTGGACAGTCTTCCTGCAACCGCACGCCCCACGCCTCAGATTCTCGAACCTAAGCCTAAGCCCCGTGACATAGCGGGGCGCCAGACCCTAAATAATTGGCGCGTAGTGTTCATTCAATTGTCCCTGTTCTTTCCCAGTTGATTCTCCATTATTGGGATAATATCCCCATAACCCTAAACCCTAAATAGTAGTTTCAATTTTCTTTTCCATTGTCCCGAGATTACTCAAATATAGCCCATAAAAAGGTACCCATATAACACCTACCCAACTCAAAATCCCAAAAACCCAAGAGCCGTAGGATAGAGAGCCAAGGCCGCAGCCTGCAGACAAGCCACCGGCGCCAACCCCCAAAGTTCTTGATTCTCCGGGAGGTGCTACTTGGGGGGCATCGGGGTGTTGTGTGACGGCTTGAGGGGTGTGGGGAAAGTTGGAGGCATCAAGGTTTTGGGGGGATTGGATGTTCAGAAAGAATGGTCTAAAGCATGCTCTGTCTTCACACGATGCGAGGAAGACAGCCAAAACAGCAGTTACGGAGATTGATGCCGGGACCCTGGCAGCCATAAAGACAGTAACTCCTTGCCGCAAAGATGAACCACTTGGGCCCCAACCCCGAATTCCTTCTTGACATTCTCGCGCCAATTGTCTTGGGTTGGGCCCAACCTCCTCTAACTTCTAGACGCCCAAGCTCGAGATCAACCGTAGTTCGCATACGCCTTTGGTTTCGCGCTTTAGGGCGTACCTTCTGTTCAGGAAGTTCGGAATCTGACACCTCAGGCTGGGCACCCCCAAGAGAAGAGGTTGGGCAGGACCCACTATATATATATATATTAGGATAATGGAAAATAAAATGGAAACCCCCAATAATGGAGAATCAAATGGAAAAGAAAATGGAAAATGAAATGGAAACTGTGATTATTGTGAGCTTTTGACCGAAGGAAACCATGTTCCGCCGCCAACGGAGCCTTCTAGCACGCTGTCTCCGGACGCGGTGTCGCTTGGGTTTTCGACTTTGGTGGTACGTGCAGCATCATGTTGTGGAGTTGTGGCTTTCAGTATTTGTTGGCTTTGGGCACTTGGAAGGACAGCTTATTTACAAGTAGACTGCTACAGCTCCCGGACATGTTGCGCATGTTCAGCATAACCCGGGAGCAGCTTTCATCAGGCGAAATAGGATAGCAGGCCAGAGGTAAAACCCAAGTTTTTGAAGCGGGCTGGAATGAGCCAAAAGCAACCTAGACGCGTCGCACGCTTTGAGTGTCAATGCTTCCTGGTTTATCTCATGGTTCCCACCGCTACCTTTGAGCTCGATATCTTCTGCGAGGGTGTTTGTTCAGGCACCTGCGCATCAAGTGGTCAAGAAGTATAACTTCAAAACGTTGGTGCTGCATGGGCCGTAGGGTGTAAGCGAATCCATCTTCTTGATGATGACGCTTGGCTTGTGCATGTGCTCTGCTACAGATGTGAGGACAACAGTCCCGGCCAATACTACAGAGGACCCCGGTCAGAGTGTTTGCACTGAAGCTTGAAGTGGCTGCATGTACTTCCAGCGGATGCACAGTTCACCAATGAAATTCTGTAGCCGCATTGAATGCATTTGACAGATGATGCCATGTACCTCAACGGTATGTGCTTGCCCGGGCCTGTGCCAGTCTGCACCCTGAGGAACCAGCAAACATCACGTCCAAGCAGGCGGAGACGCCAGCAACGACCACTGAGAAGCAGCAGGTCTCTGCAACGTCTACCAGTGAGACCAAGGAGGAGCCGGCAGCAACTACTGCGAAGAAGGAGCAGGAACCGGCAACAACGACCACTGAGGAGAGACAGGAACCAGTAAAAACGACCCCTGAGGGGAAGAAAGAGGAGGAGAAGTCAGGTTGCCTCCGGCTGGATTCCCTCTTCCTACTAGTGCCACTACTTGTCCTGCCGATGATGTAAGCCATATAAAAACGTTGCAAGCACTGGTGTTCGGCGGGAACTAGAGGTTGTCCCAATCTTTGGTGCGAGTTATGCAAGGAGTGCTGACTGTAGCTCATGTGCGGCGCAAAGCCGCGCTTGTTTTTTTCAGCCTTCTCGGCCATTTGGCTACCTCTCACTTGCCTACGTACAGCCATCTTGCGGGAGTTTCTCAGATCAGCTGTTCTGTGACCTCGAAGAGGGGCTCCAAATTAATTTTGTGGAGGGGCTTTGTATGGGTCTTGAGAAACCCCGTCTGTCAAATCAGATCCACCAAATCATATCCACCGGGCAAAATGTGGCTCGCATGTACTGACCGCCAGAGAGAAACATCAGATTCATGGGGTTCAGGGCCGCTAGAGTTCCAAAGCTGTCCCTTAGGAGTACGAGGCACTGTGAATGGGCACTGTGCGCTCATGAGAGTGCAGTCTGGATAACTCCGATAACAAACCAAGCTTCGGAAGGATTGCTTCACGTGCACCGGCAATACTGCGACACCTAGTTGTTGGCGGTTGCAGGACTCGGGCCCTAAGTATGGAAACTACCCAAGTAGGCAAGTCGGCGTAGGGCTGTGTCCAAAGACTGGAGTCCGGTCAACAGTCTGGGAGGCTGCGCAGTATGCAAGAGAATCATGACAATGTTACTTTTAAGCAGTCGAACTGATGTGATTAGCTGTTGTGTGGAGAGGCCTGATGAGATTGCCTCAACAGCTGAAGCCATATTGAAAAACCCTCAGACAGCTTGCGCAAGAAACGTAAAGATTTTTGTCGAACAGGATGAGGAAACCTCCAAAAAAGGAAAAGCCCTTCTTAAGGAATCGTACCATTTGCAGATGCAAGGCCCTTCCTTGAGTTCCCCACCATAAACTCCAATGGCATCTCAACTTACTCCATGTGCATGCTCCCCTGAGCCCAACTCAGAAGCCCTATGCGGCAAACCCAACTCTTAGACCCTTCCCCTTAACCCCATACAGCCTAAACTATCTCCCTAGACCCTAGGCCGCACCATGATGCAACGGGGCACGCAGCGCTCTCAAGCGAAGAATCACATTTTCCCCGTTTCGGTACCGACAAGCTTGCGCCGCCTTGGCAGGCAGACACTCGGCTACTACTTTTGAAGGGTTTTAGGGTTGTACCCTGGCTCAAGGTTGAGTGTTTTAGGTTTGTACCCCGGGTTGAGGGTTTAGGGATGTGCCCCTATGGCCCTAGGGTTGCACCCCTGTCCTTGTAAGGAACCCTAGGCATGCAGGGAAGCGCATTCAGTACCATCAGCGTTTGTAGATGTAGATAGGTGACCAGGATATCTGCTTAGAGCAGCAGATAGTGTAGTACTTGATGCTGCTTCGGGAAAGTCATGACCTACAGTTACGTACTGTTTCTCTTTGTTTACAAGCGAAGATGCGGTTTGGCAGCAAAGGTCGTATCCTGTGTGCTCACAATTTACATAGGAGTTGTGGCTATTGTCGCCGCTCTTCTTTCCCAACTTCCTCACCCTTTCTTGTTATTTTGACCATAGGTGCTCTACTCTTCATACTTGCCCTTACGGCGCCTATTGTCATACTTGTCAGATGTGCTTGAAGTTGTGTACGTCTTCTAGTCTTCAGAGTTTTTCTTATTGTCGCACGCCTCCTCAGCATCAAAATGTCAGACCCCAAGACGTAAGGGACACCTAACCTCTGAACCCTAAACCCTGCACACTCTAAAACCCTAGACGGTGTGTCAGGCCTTCTCTTTTTGAGCTGCGGCCGCTAAAGGGTTTTAGGCAAAAGGGCTTACCGGCATTTTCAGACGCATTTCCAGTGGTGTCTGAAAACACTGCAACTTGTGCCACGTGTTATCTTGACGCAGTTTGGTGGATATTTCCCTGAGTAAGCCCTCTTGATTCACAGGCGGTGACATTTAGATAGTTCTTACAAACAACCGCTTGAAGAACATCTAGCGAAGCAATCCCATAGTTTCGTAGTTCCATAAGCTCTACAGGGCACCCCCCCTCCCACTCCCGAGAAGCATCCTCAGCCCTTAGCCTCATTTTTTCTGTGCAGAAGAGGAATATTGCCCTTCTTCATGGTTCCTCCCCAATTCTGAAGGAGCTTAGGGTTAAAAGCTCGAGATAGACCATACCAGTGTGGGTGTTGAAGTCCCAAATCCTCTAGGTACCCCAGTAGTGCCCTTTTGCCTTTTTTTTTGGGGGGGGGTCTCCTTATTAAAGCTGAACAGTAGGAAAAAGGGTACCCTTATTATTACTGGGGAACCTAGGAAATCCAACTTCCCAAACCCTGAGCCCAAAGGAATGTTGCGTTCCTGTCTGGTCATGGCACTACTGGCAGCCCATTTAAGCTCGGGCGTGTCCGAGGAAGGGGGCCGCTGCTTAGGGATGGGATTCAATCAGGAGATCAACACTTGCACCCCTATATAATCCCTGGTGTTTCCATTTGATTTTCCATTACTCCCTATATAACTCCAATATATACCCTATGATCCCTCTATAACCCCTATATAATCTGAGAGTTGTATACTAGGAATGAAGGGAGGCCCCTGATATCCCAGTTCAGGCATGAAATATTTCTGGTGCGCTTAAAGTCTTAAGGCTTGACATGAGTTTTTATTTCCTCAATCTGCAAGGGATAGGCTTTGATAATCTTTAGGTGTTTTCATAGGGACAAGAGGGCTTGAGGAAAAACAGTTGGATATCTATCCCCAAGCTCTACACAGTCCTTGAACATTGCTAGATGGTCAGGTTATGGATTATAAGGTGTATAGGGTTCAGGGGCTGGGCTTATGATAGGGTTTTAGGAGATTCTCTGCAGGGCTTCTTCGTTACTTCCAGGAGTCAGCCAATCCCGCGAATCGGCACACCTAAGCCGCCGCTAAGACCGGTCTACTCTCTTCAAAGCTCAACAACATAACATAGTACCCAGAACACTAAACGCTGACCCTAAACGCAAATGACCTGAAGATCCTAGTTTACCTTTTCTTCTTCAGTGCTACAATGTGCTTCATAGGTTGCTCAGGCTTACGAATTTCTTCACAAACCAAGATGCCCAAGTCACCAGACTCCACGAAATCTGCAACCGGCCTCCGGATCTGCAAAACCGACAGAAGTCCCAAACATCCGAGTTGAGCAGTATTTTTGGGGGGATACTATGGTACCCAAAATAGAGTAAGATTATATCCTCCTTTTGGGGTATAGTATTTTATATAAGGAATATAATCTGACTAGGTTCAACCACCAAAAAAAACGTTACTCAATTGTAAGCCCAAAGTTTCTCAAGCCCCAAGCTGTCTGGAAGCCCTTAGCGGAAGCCGGCGGGGGTACCTGCTTACTTGACCGCTAATATCCGAAATCCGAAGGCTCAAACCTGGATCATCATTATACTAAAATGCAATAAGGCTCAACAAGACTAGTATAGATATGAAAACCGGGGCTGGCCCTATAAGGTAAGTATAACCCCTATGTAACAGTTTCCATTTTCTTTTCCATTAATTATTCCCTATATAACCCCAATATATACCCTATAATCCCTATATGACCCCTATATGATCCCTATAAGGAACCCTAAAAAAGGACATCAAGGAAGCCTGCGAGATGCCAACTGCGCCGCAGAGCAGCTCGCTTTTGCAGCCGCGAGCACAGAGCGCCTCAGGAACTCCAAGGGCTTCAAACGGGGTCGCTGTTTAAGGAACTTAAGATAAGTTACCATCATATGGAGTGTATAGGGTTTAGGGGCTTAGAGTCGTTATTAAGGAACTTAAGATGAGTTACCACTATCTGGGGTACATAGCTGGGGGTGGAAGTCGTGACTGGGCTTCCGGAAGGGTCGGTCTGCCCTTCCGCCTCTGCCTGTAGTGTGCGGGGCTTAGGGTTGCTGTTACGGAACTTATATAAGTTACCATAATATGGATATGTGGTGAAATTTTTGGGTTTCCTCATTATAGTAGTCTGATTTAAGTTCCTGAGCAGCAACCCAGTCAAAGGGGGCATAGAGGTTCATGGGGAGAAGGAGGGTTTAGGACTATGAAAGGGGTTACCGGTACGAAGATCTAGGGAATCTAGGGCTCAGGATTTTTCTATAGGGTTTGGAGCAGTCTTAAATAGGATTGCCGTAGTTGGTGCAAACTATGGCACCCCTTCTTTTATTTTCTCCAAATTTCCACATAGCTTTTCGTCAAGACAAGCGTACCTCAACCACAGGGGCGTGCGAGAAAACCATGAAACCTGACGCCTGCAAACTCTTTTGGCAGGAAAAGAGATACCACCGCCTCAAGAGTCTTCCGGTCCCCTCTCGCCCGAGAAGATCGCCCAGACTTCCCCGCCTCCTACGCAAAATGCTGCTTGCCATGCACTGGCTTCATGAAGCAATGAGTAAGGGGCTGGTGAAGCAGCTCAATGGTCCGAAATCATCACCTGCTTTTTGTTACACCTATGAAAACTGAAATTGTTGTTGCAGCGCTTCACATGTAGGGTTTTGAAGGGCTGCGCAGCTGTCTGGATCTTATGATGAAGAGGCGCGAAGCCTACAAGGCTGTAAGGAGTTTGTCCATACCATGGCCTCATTGGAGGTCCAAGTTTTTTGTAAGGCTTGTTTCGTTTTCAAACATCTCATGATGTCATGCCTCCAGCGCCGTCTTCTCCAGCTGATGATTGGGCTGAGCGGTTAGGTGGTCTGGGTGCGGGGTGCGTAGTGTTGATGGTCGCATTCCAGGGGTTCGAGTTCAGGCGGTTGAGGTCCTGGCTTGGAGACATGCCGTTCTTGTCGTGCGGCATGCAACCATAAGACGAGCCAAATTTCAGAAACGCTTCAAAATTATGGGGCGGAAGCAGAAATCCCAGGTGACAACAGCGGCCTCGCACGAGAAGCACAAGGACAACGACTACAACTATAAGTTGTTTTCGTTTGCAAGTGCAGCAACATGAAAAATCCCGACATCCTTGGAAATCACCCTTCTTGTTGAGATGATCTTTTCGAACCGAGTGCCATAAGA